GGCTATGGCCCTGGGTGGTGGGGATCGGGCTTTGGCTAAGGTCCCCGGCCCCAGTAAGTCTAAGCCAGCCCTGGCAACCCCATTAAAACGGGGTCACAACCCACAGTTTGAGAACCACTGGTCTAGTGTTTCCAACCAGTGCTGAGATTCTTGTCAGGTTTTGGAGAATAACCCCCAGCCTCCCTGCCTGGGACAGACTCCCTGGGGCTGCTGCATTCTTGCTGTTCATCGTGGCTCAAGGGCATGGGGAAGAAGCCTGGCAAAGCCAGTCTCTAGGAGCCAACAAAGCCCATCTCCCTGCGGTCTGCAGGACTCAGGGGATTGGGCCATTTCCTGCCAGGTTGCTGGCATGAATGCAGCCCAGACTGCAGGCTTGGTGGCCTGTGTGAAGAGCTGGGGGAGGGGGTGTCAGGCTAGTCCCCTAAGCCCTGAAAGCTGAATCTAATTTTCAAAAACTCCATCTTAAGTGTGGGTTGCAGAGCCTGCCCCTGTGGGTACAGCCACTGCTTGAGCCCTGCTCTGGGCTCTTCGCTGGCCAGCTCGAGATCCCAGGCTACATTGTACTGGCAGCATCTTCCCAGCTCGAACGTTCCCCGTGCAGATGCCACCGGGCTGAAGTGTTCCAGCTGTGTGGCCGTGGGATGGGGCTGCTTTCTCATCCTGCCTCAACGCCTCCCACCCCACTCCCATGCTGCTCCAGGGCAGCTTGTGTAATCACATGGCTGGTCCCCATTTGTCCCTGCCCCCCAAGCTCAGCACTGCTGGGTGGATGGCACCTTTCCTTGGTATGCAGCCCCAGCCCCTCTGTGAGTCGTGCTGTGGCCGTGGCCCTGGGGAGGTGTCTATGGTTTAAGTCCACCCAGGGTCTCTCCCACAGTCTTGGTGCCTGTCCCTTTTGTTACTGAAGACCCAGGCTGTGCTGATGCCTGCCTCTCCAAAGCCAGGGCAGGGTACCAGGGGCCTGCCTGCTCCTGATGAAGTCGTGGCCAAGCTCCCATTGAATCCGGCCTGCAAGCTCTGCTGCACTGCACGAGCTCTTCCCCAGGCTTGCTCTGCGGAATGCTTGTGACCCATCCGGTCCGGAAGGGCCCTTCCAGCCCAGCGGGATTGGAGCCCGGCAGGTGCCAGAGGCTGATTTGAAAGAAACTTCCAGACCAATCGGGATACAGGCCCAGGTCCTGGCAAGACTCTGTGGACTCCAGAGGGGCTGGGGCATGTCCCATTGGCACCTGGAGGGAGCTGATAGCCTTGCTTTGTGGCTGCCAGGGCAGTGCTTTGATGGCTGTGCAGTGTCGTGTGCAATGGACCAATTGCCACCCAAGGAAGGGGCTGGGGAGTCACTCACTGAGCATTCCCTGTTCCCAGGAGCTCCTGGACCAGGTGAGAACGTTCCTCACGTCTGTGTGTCATCGATACCTTAAGGCTGCTCCCAATCTGTCTGCGCAGCAGGGGCTGGGAGTTAGCCAGGCCTCCTGCGGCTGTGGTCGCTGCAGTGCTAAGCAGGACCGGTGCAGCTCACCTCCCAGGAACAGCCAGGTGCTTTGGGGACCAAAGTAGGTGTCTCAGTAAAAGGGATGTTCTCCCCTTGCAGTAAGTGCTGACCCCACTGCCCCAGTGTGACATTAGGGGGTGATGTGCTGCTGCAGCGCTCTTCCAGGGGTGATGTCAAATGGCACCACACTGTGGGATTGAGCGAAGCCATGAAGGAGGCTTTTACAAAGAGACGCTCAGTCTCGATTTAGAGCCTCCAATGATGGAGAATTAACCCTGCAAGCCGCGCCAATGGTTAATTCCCCTCCCTGTAAAAAGCTTGTGCCCCGTGTTCAGTCTGAAGTGTTTTATTCCTGTGTGACAGCATGTGGGGTTATCCTAGGGCCCAAGGAGGGTGGCTGTGTCCCGGCTGGGGCTGAGAGTTGCTTTCCAGTGCAACACACCTGGAATCCAACTCAGGTCCCGTCCCCTCCATGGGGGTGTGTACAGGGTTGTTCTGGGGTGGGCCACCCCACTGACATGGCTCACCCAGAGAGGCTGCTGCAGAAGAGAGCAAGGGGCCAGTGGGCCGAGAGGCCTGGAACTGCATGGTGCCCGCCCCTGCCATGTGCCCCTCAGGCAGCCGAAAAGCCCCTTCTAAGAAGGGGAAGGGGAGGAGGCAGTGGGCTGGCACCTGGGCACCACTTGTCTTGGTCTGCCAGAGCTGTGCACTCGAAGGGAGACGCCCACTGGGCACAGGTGTCAGTGGCAGCTCAGGTACAGGGAGGAGATTGGGCCCAGGAGCTCCTGCAAGCTGAGCTGCTCCGTGGACCATCCCTGCTCCACAGAGGCAGTCCACTCCTTCTTGGGGTGCTTGTGTGGGTCTTGGGGGGGAGTCGGCTGTGGGGTCTGGTCCCAGCAGCTTTTTCAGGGTGTGGGGCCTGCTGCTGGAGACTCTGGTGCTTGAGGTGCAGGGAGCCCTGCCCAGCCTCTGAGGAGCAAGAGCCCTTGCAGACCCCTCTGAGCTCCCAGCAGCATCCAGGGTGGCCCAGCTCCCCTGAGGAGCATGGATCCCTCCTCCCCAGGTTGGAAGCCGTATGCAGGTGGCTCGTGGGAGCAGATGCTGGGTTCCCTAGGAGGGAGATGACCTTGCAGGGCAGGAGCTGTCAGACAGGTTTGTGCGTGACAGTGATTAAAGGGGAGTTGTTTGTTTACACAGTGCCTGGTGCAGAGAGCTGGGGCGTTACACCTGAGCTGGGAGCTCCCTTGGGCCAGGGCAGTGCCTGACCCAGGGCCCCCAGCAGGGATCTGTCGGGCACTGGCAGTGCTGGGCTTGGAGCAGGCTGAGACCCCCTCCTCCTGTCCCCCAAGCTGCAGTGGTGCTGAGACTTGTAACAGATTCCCAGCTATGGGCCTTGGACAGCTTCACCTCCCCACCCGCATACTTGGCTGTCCTGTTCTCACTGGGGCTCTGAAGGGAAGTTCCCGCCCCCCCCCCCCCCCGCCCCCGGACGCTCGGGTATCCAGAGCTGAGTGTTCGAGGACAAGTGGGTGAGAGTCATGGCACAGGCTGTGCTTTCCCGACACAGGCAGTACTGCCGCATGGGCAGACTGGCAGCCGTGCTGTTCCCGTGCTTAGCCTGTTCATTTTTGTCTGTCGTGACGTTATTCCAGGGCTGGTTGGTCTTTGCTGGGCAAGTCATTTAACTGCTTTGTCTCACTTTCCCCATCTGTAAAATGGGGCCTCTAGCGAACTCTGCCCCCACTGGCTCTGCAGTCTTTGGCTGCCTGTCCCGGCGAAGAGCAGAGGGAAGGTGTTGGAGGCAGGGCTCAGAGAGCAAGCCCCTGGAGACTGCCTTTGCCAGTGGAAATGCCACTGCCGATTTGGGTGCCCGAGGCAAAGCGTGAGCCTGCAGTAAGTGGGCAGCGGCCTTCGGGGGCATTGGGGTGAGGTCCGCAGTCCAGGGCAGGTGGAAATGCTGCCCAGAGCAAGGAGCTCTCCCAGCCGGGACCTCGTGGGCATCATGCTGGTTCTCAGGCTGGGCTGGGTTCAGAGCTGGCTGGTCTTGCTGTACCCGCTGCTGCCCAGGGTTGAAGGGCAGGGAGCAGGGCACTGAGAGGGGAACAGGCAGCTGCTCCCTCGGCGCTGGAGCCAGCCTGGGGAGTAGACCATGTTGGGGATGATGCCGGGTCGGTAGCCCTATGCACTGAGGGGGAGGCCTGACCACTGCCCTGGGTAGCACTGGGGAGGGAGGGGCTGTTCCCGTCCCCTGTGCCTCATGGGAAGGGTGAGGGGCTTGTTAGTTGCTAAGCAGCATTGTCAGTTTCCTCCTGGGCTTCCTCCCAGCAGGGCCCAGAGTGTACAGCCTGGAACCTGCTAAGGAAACTGCCACTTCCTGCCTCACGTCCTTCCTGTTCCTGCCTCCTCTGCTGGTGCCATCTGGCCTGTGCCCTGCAGCCCCCATGCCACAGCATCTGCTTCCGTTCACTGCCTGGAATGGAGCATCTCAGCCCTTCCCCTCCTCAGGGCTGGGGCCGGGACTCTGGCTTCAACCTCTGCTGCTGTCTGGAGGAGCTGGACGCCTCGCCCCTGTGCCCATCCTCGAGGGGATGGAGGGGGGGGGGGGGGACAGGGAGCCCAGGCCATGGGGCCTTGGGTACGTGCAGGCCTGGCCTGCCATTTGCCTTGCTCCTCTTGGTGCAGCTGGTCAGGTCCAGAAGGTCGAGGTGGGGCAGGAACCCTGTTCTGAGCCCATGGGACTTGGCAAGAGTTTGTCCATTGAGTGCAGTGGGTCAGGACCAGGTCCCAATGGAAAAAGTTTCTGGCTCATGCGGGGAGCGTCTGCCCAGCCAGACTTTCCATCCCAGCTGCAGCAGTGCCTTGCTGCCTGAGGGACTGTCCGGGGGCACCTTGCCTCCGCCGCCTGGGGGCTCTGGCATTGCGCCGTCGCTAGGGCAGCACTTGGCACGTTCAGTGGCCCAGCCTCCAGCCAAGGGCCATGTCTCCCCCGCAGGGATTCCCCTGGTATCTTGCACTCGCACCTCAAGGCTGAAAGCTGCTGGGCTTCTTTCCCCCAGCTCCTGAGCTGGGCTCTGGGCCTTCCTCTGAAGGGAAAGGAGCTGCACTAAGGGGGAGGGGAGGCGCTGGCCTGGCAGCCCTGGGGGAGCCAGTCATGCCCACAGTGGGTGCAGCTCAGACAGGGACACTGCCCCCTCCTTGGGAGCCAGGGGGTAGCAGCCTCTGTAGCCCAGCTAGCCCTTAGCCCCTCTGCTGTGGCTGCCAACAGGGAGCTAAGCTGGATGCTGGATTTTGTGCTACTGAGACCCCAGTTTGCCGGCCCCAGGCCTCAGAACAGCCATGGAGGGGTGTCGTCTGCCTGCCTGGGCTGGATCCCCCACACCCCTCTTGACTGCTCTCCCCTGGGCCGGCCTGAGGAGCCCCCCCAACGCAGTGCTGTGGCCAGGGTCTGCAAAGGCTCCTGGAAGGGTGGGTGGGTGGGTGGGTGTAAAGACCATGCTGCTGGCCCAGGGTCCCGTCTGAGCTGGGAGGAGGCAGCCACAGCTGTGTGTGGACCAATTGTCCAGGAATCAGCCTGGGGACAGAGCCCAGGCGGGCGACAGGAGCTCTGGAGCCTGCCTGCCTGGCTGGGTGGCATGTGCTTGTTTTGGTTTCCCTCCCCAGCCCCCCAGGCGGGAGGAGGAGCTGGGTGTGGGAACCACCACGTCAGACAGGAGGGAGCAGTTCAGCCTTGGCTGGGTGGCAAGGCAGACCGACTTCCAGCCGGATCCTCCCAGCGTGCTGCTCCCTGGGGCTCGGCTCTGGCTGCCTGGGGGGAGCAGGTCAGTGGCAGAGGACCCTGCTTTATCTCTGGGGAACATGCTAGTGTCTGGCCGGCTCCTGTTGGGGTTCCCAGCTCCAGAGGCTGAAAGAAGGCACCTGCATCCTCAGCTTACAGGCCTGAAGGGAGCAGCTGGCTCCGTACAGACCCACTCCCACCAGAGGCTGCTTGTAGGCAGGGGGTGGGGTGGGGGTCCCTGCATGGGGACCCTGGATGAGTCTTTGGAGCCCTGCTGTGAATGCTGGGAGTAGTAGTGGGCTCTGCATGACACAGGGAGATGTGGCCTCTCTGCCTCCCCTCTGGCTGGCTGGGCATCCATGGGGATGGGGGAGGGAGCCCTGCTCTCCCCCTCTGGGTGGGGCTGGTGGACAGAGAGTGGCCCCAGCCACTCACGCCCCTTTGCTGATTGTCTGTTCCCTCCTTTGGCAGTGCTGGTACCACACGTTGGTCTAATTCTCCATGGCAACAGCACAGGCCCCTCATGTGACCTGTGACCCTGGCAACTGCCTCCTTGACTCTTCCCTAGCCTCTGCGCCTGGGAGCTACGGCTGCGGCATGGGCAGCGTGGGCAGCCTGGTGGAGAAGCAGGACTTGACGCCTGTGGAGCTGCGGGCGGTGCTGGGGGGCTCGCGGGGGCTCCGGCAGCCGGACGGCCTGCTCCGGAAGGGCCCGAGCCAGCGGGAGCTCTTCAGCTACCTGCACGGCGCCAGGAAGGAGCCCCGGGCCGAGAGGAAGCACCAGGCGCTCGGGGGGTCCTGCAACCGGGACTACGAGAGCGACCGTGAGAACCGGTCCCCTGACCGCTACTCCCGCGAGCACCACCGGGGGGCAGACTTCTCCAAGAGCTCGCTGCCGGAGCGGGGCCGCTTTGACAAGGTGAGGCCCTGGGTGATGGGCTGGGCTGGGGCAGCCCATGTGGCTAGGGATCCACGGGACTAGTTGTAAGGATGTTTCCCACAAGTGCGTTGCACCAACCGCCCCTGAAATGCAGCTGTCTCTAGAGTGGAGTGCAGCCACCAAATGGGAGCTGGCTGGCGCAGAACATCTGAGGAGGGGGCCCTTACGGACAGTCCCCATGTTCTTGGCAGGCCAGGTGGTGATGGGCCCGTGTAACGGCTGTGACAGATGGAAGCTGGGAGCTGCTGGAAGGTCCTCGTACATAAACCTCATCTCTGTGTCCAGGGCAAAGGGGTGGGGCAGCCCTGAGCCATCCTGCAGCTGGGGACACAGACTGGGGTGCCTCAGCTCTTCTCCCTGCTGAGTGGAGGGGCAGCAGGGCTGGGTGGCTCTGCTGAGACCAGGTTGATCCTTGGCTCCCTTGTCTTTCAGTGTCGGATCAGGCCATCGGCCTTCAAGGCAGTGGCTGGGAAAGGCCTGGTCTCCATGCAGGGTCTGGCCTCATCTAAAGGGCAGAAGCTGTCGAAGAGCAACGGGAGCCTGCACACCCTCCTGTCCCAGAGCAGCACCAGCACCGGTGCCTCCTCCCAGCATGGCCACATGCGCACCCACCTGCTGCACACCATCAGCTTAGACGAGGCCTCCAATTCCAGCCACAACTCCATCCAGAGCTTCCCCATCTATCCTCCCCACTTCAAACCTGCCCAGGGCCAGTTCAGCGCCTCCATGGGCCACATCAACCACATTGGGGGCTCCCTTGACAGGGCCTCCTGGGGCCCCAGAGACCCCCTGGCAGTGGAGAAAGCACCTCTGTCCTGCAAGAGCATGGCCACGCTAAGCCGTCTGCAAAGCTCTGGGGAGCCCCCACCCCCCTACGAGTTCACCTACTCCCTGGAGGATGTGGTGAAGCAGCTGGAGGACCGGCTGCAGGAGAAGAGTGGGGAGCTGTGGCAGTTGAAGAGGAGCCTTAGTGAGACTGAAGACCCCTTCACGCAGGTGAGTGCAGTGGGGCTGGCCTGAGGGTGCAGGGCCCTGGGCCTGCTTCCCCCACATCCTAACCCCCCCTCCCCCAAGCAGGGATGCTAGTGTCTCATGTGTTGCCCCCGTGCTGTTGTCTTGGAGCTCACTGCGTGTTGCGGTCTGTGCGTGGTCCATGATTCCCTGGAGTGCTGTGCTGGCAGTAGTGTGCCGGTGTGTTGTGTCTGGTGCGAGCAGAGCGGGGGAAGGGCACGTTCACCTCCAGAATCCAGTGACCTGTTGGGCAATGGGGAGCTTGGGCTCTGCTGCTCCCAGTGCCAGAGCATCAGGCTTGCTCCAGAGAGATTGGGCTGGAAAATCTCCGTGCACGAGGAGCCTTTTCCCCCTTGCACCAAGGGAAGGTGGCGGTGGGTGACCCATAGGAGCAGCTGCTCAGCCTGTATGTGCTCTCTTGAGACAATGGAGACATTTATGTTTCAGAAGCTCGTACTAGGGTGGGAATGGTGCAGTGCCGGGAGGTGAGCCCTGCTGTCCTGGCTGAATCCTGCTTGGAGATGGATTGTGTGTTGCTGCGGGGTGGCTCTTAGCGCTGCTGCTTCCCATTCCAGTGTCATGGGGCCAGGCTGCTCCCTGCGCTAGGCTTCGGTGTGACTTCCGTTTAACTAAGCCACCTCTAATCCACCAAGCAGTTGGGGCAACTGCTCCCCGCTGCAGGGCTGGGATCCGGAGCAGCCTCAGATACTAACAAGCTGCTGGAGGGGGCTGGGCTGCCTGGCACTTCGCCCCAGGAGCTGGGCACAGACCTCTGCTTGTGCCAGCAGGTTTTCGAGGACAAACAGCATCTGTGGATGGATGCACTGGACGAGCTGAAGCAGATGTATGTCGCCAAGCTGCAGCAGGTGACCCAGCAGGCCCAGCGCAGCCAGCGGGCACTGCAGCTGCAGCTCTACAAAGCGCAGCAGGAGAAGAAGCGGCTGCAGGAGGAGCTGAGCCTGCACCAGGGCCAGTGCGAGGAGCTGAGGCAGTGGCAGCAGCAGTGTGAACGTGTCAGCCCCAAACTAGAAGAGACCAGGTGGGAGGTGAGTAAAGGAGAGCCCTGCAGCTCTCCTTCACCCTTCTGCCCCAACAGCTGTCCTAGTGCCCCTCAGTCCCAACCCACAGCCTCAGCCCTCGGCACAGGCGCCAATTGTACCATGCTCTGGGGTTTTTGGGGAGGAACTTTTGGCTCAGGACGAGGCAGAGAGAAGCTGAGTCACTGTCATCTGTGACTTAATGCAGCTGTGGACCCGGCACTAGAGCCAAAAGCCTAGTGACCCCCCCCCCCCAACCCATCCCTCACACCCCTACAAAGCCTCCATTTCCTGCCTGTGGGAATCCCGAGAGTGCTGCCTGGTATGGCTGCCCCATGGCAGGTTTAATGCTCTATGCCCCTGCCTGGCAGAGTTGGGATTGAATGGGGGTTTCCTATCCAGATGCACCCAATGATTCTAAACCCCACCCCCCCTTTTCCTGTGCATCTCATATCTTGCTCTGTCCCTCCCCACCCTTTCTCTGCCTCTCCTGCAGGTTTGTCAGAAGGCAGCTGAGATCTCACTGCTCAAGCAGCAGCTTCGAGACTCCCAGGAGGAGATGGCCCAGAAAGTCAGTGAGATCTTCAGCTTGAAGACCCAGCTGCGGGAGGCCCGGGCAGAGGTGCAAGCCAAGGACTCTCAGCTGGCCCAGCTAGGGGACTCCTTCCAGGCCCCACCAGAGCCCAGCTTCTCCCTCCCTTTGGGGGATGCTCCCATGCCAGTCTGCCAGGACTTCTCTGGCTGTGAAACTGATGACTCCAAGTGTTGGGGTCTTCACAGCGAGAGTGGTGAGCCCCCGGAGAGGCAGGTGGAGTGGCTGTGGGCAGAGCTGCTGCGTGAGCGGCGCCAGGGCCAGCTGAAGGCTGTGAACTTTGAGCTGGAGAGGAAAACCTGGCAGCAGGAGAAGGAGAAAGTGCTGCGCTACCAGAGGGAGATCCAGGCAAGCTACATGGAGATGTACCACCGCAGCCAGGCTTTGGAAAGGGAGCTGCGGCAGCTGCGGGCTGAGCCCAGAGATGCTGACGCAGACTCACCCTGGATCGAGAGAGTCGAGTCTTCAAAAATCTGAATGGGAAGCCAGCAGCCTGGACTGGGAAGGAGCAAGAGCTCTTGGGATGGTACCCAGGCTGCACCATGGATTGACTGGGCTAGCCAAGGGGGCTTCTCCATTCAGACTGATGATGCTGTGAGCACTGCAGGTCCATCCCTGGGGGAGTCTCAGGAGCAAGTGTTACTTCTGCCTCTGCAACAGAGGCCTGTGCTCCAACAGCTGCCTTGGGCAGGGCAAGTTTGCACCATGATTTTTACTGTCTGGCAAACAGAAGCCCAGCATCAAGTGGGATTTCCTGTTCCTCCTCCCCCATCCCCTGCTGCTTCCTACCCCAGCAAGGGCTCTGGCCCTGCTGGGGAGATGCCCAACTTCCTCTCCTTACACTGTCCAAGCTGCATGCCTGCCAGTCTTGCTGCATGTCCTTCTCACTGAGGCTGCACTGCTCACTGGCCCCAGCAGAGAGCTGCAGGCAGAGTAAACCTGCCCTGCTGTGCCCATGCAGGTAGCCTGGCCTTGGGGCTTGAGGCCTGGGAAATGTGAAACACGGATGCTGCGGAGCACTTCCTGCCAGGGCTAGAGCCGCCCTGGCACCTGGCTCTGCTGGAGTCTCTGCAGCAGGAGAAAAGGAGAGCCTAGAGGGCTCATGCCCCGGGGGACAGGTGCAGGGGCTTTGCAGACCACCCAGGGCTGTGGCCTCTGTGCTGGGGCTTCTCGTGCTGCTTCGGAGCTGGGTCGGTATCCTGACCTAGAGAAGGGGAGATGGAAAGCAGCTCCTGCCAGAGAGCATGCACCGTCGCTCAGACCTATCCTTGCCCACCCTCCCCCGTTCTGGCCCAGCCGACGTCTGGGTATGAAGCTTTCCCGTGAGGCAGTAGCACATGCCTAGTGAGATGAGATAAATGAAGAACCTTTTCCCCCACCGGCCCAGCCCAGCCCAGGGTGAGGGGAGGGATGGGACCTGCCTGTGTAGAGCGAGAGCCTACAGGAGAGCACCTGGTGGGGTCACAGGCACAAGTGCAATCGGGGGAAGGTATGGTCAGCTTTCCCCCCATTCAGCTGCAGAGCACCCAGGGAAGCAGAACGTAGGCTGTGGCTTGGTGCTGAGGGGTGGGCAGGGGCAGGCTAGCACCATGGGGTGGGGCAGGGGGCTGGCTGCTGGGTGCTCTGGATATGAAGGTCCAGGCCTGGCACGGCTCTGCTCAGCCTCTCCTGGAATAAATCTGAATTTGGTACTTCTGGCTCCTGTGGCTGCTTGTCTCTCCCTCCATGGGGGTGACCCAGCAGCTGTCCCTGGGTGCTCACGTGGGTGAGTTACAGGCCTCCCAGCTGACCGTATAGGGCAGCAGTGAAGCTGGTATTTACTCTGCACCCCAGGAGGTTGCTGCAGCCAAAACTCCATTTGCTGCTGACCAGGGATGTTGAGCTAAAGGCAGGCGAGTCGGGGAAGGGGAGCAGTGCTCCCAGCGTAGGGACCATGGGCCCAGTTTCTGAGGATGATGCAGACAGGGCTTCACGTGGCCTGGCCCCTGGCTGCCCAGTGCTAGCAGCAGGGCTGGGCCCCACCTACAGGAGCTGCCTGCTCCATTGTGTGTGTTCCTGCTGGAGTGGGGGCTCTGGTTTGTCTCTAATGGGCTGGCAGCGACATGCTGCTCTTTAAGGTCAGACACAAGCCCCCACGAGCAGTCCTGGTGCAGCACCACTTGCCTCTCCCAGCTGCAGGTTATCTGATGGGTGGAGAGGAACCAATCTACTCAGTCCTGCTGGACACAGGTGCTGGGGGCTGGCAGGGTCAATCTCTCTGGCCTCGTCCTGGCAGCACCCTCTCGACTCTGCTTGGAAGTGAAATACACAAGATGCCAACAGCTGTAGTACCCTCAACCACTGGCCAGTGTCTCCTTTTAAATCATCTCTTGTCATGGTGGTGCCTGGCACCTGTCCATGCCATCGACCTGGCTTGGCCCTGCAGTGACAGGCTGTGCACACACAGCAGTGCTCCTGGCTGCTAGCCCACTGGGGCTTGGCTCTGAGGAGCTGGAGCCCGAGTCTGGGATCTGCTGCAGGTTTGTTATTCTGGGCCAGCTGGCTGTTGAAATCTCATTTGTTTGCTGGTGCCCACATCAGGCCAGGGCTCTGTGGTGCCGGGCTCTGATCCTTGCAGCAGGTTTACACCCAACAATTAGAGCCATGGGGAGGTGAGGTGGGACCCAGGAGAGGGCGGCACCAAAACTTGGCAGGGAAGCCAGAAACCAAGCTCCTGCCGCAGATGCCACAGGGCAGAGTTGTGGCGTCTCAGGAAGAACCGAGTGTTTAGATTATTGGGTTGGTGGTGAAACCGGTTTCCTGAATTCCACAACATTGATTCACACTCAGAGAGATGGAGGCCCGGCCGGGTGTAACTGTCATTGCTATGCTGCAGGGGCCCTTCTCCAAAAGCACTGCCGAGCAGCTCGCCCTTGCTTGGGATCCTAAGACTACGACAGCCCTTTCTCCGCATGCTTCTAGCCTGTGCAGACACCCTCATGCTGCCACTGTCTCTCTTTGACCCAAGCACCATCACTGAACCAAAGGGACCCTGTGGAACCCTTTCCAACCCACCCCAGCAAAATGCTCTCTTCTTAGGGCACTAAGAAGAGAGGCATGAATGCAGCTGGTGTGGCCAGGGCAGCAGTGACTTCTACAGCATTGTTCAGCCTGACAACTCCATTGCCTGATTCCAGCCACTGGCTCCTAGTTACACCCCTGTCTAGCTCCTGTACAACTCCCCTCCCCCCTCAGGTAGGGTTATGCCTGGTGGAGATGTGAAGTCATATTTCTGTCACTGAACCAAGCTGCTAACATGCTCCCTCCAGCCTGGATGCTGCATGTCTCCTCTCTGAAAACATACCCA